AATTTAAGAGCTCTGTGTGTGCCTGGAGCACTGATTTTTGTTTGTTAGCACCTTTTATTAGTATTATTAATAATATCAAAAGGTGCTTCTGGTACTTGAAATTCTTTTATGCCCTAAGATGAGATGAGGAGACCCTCTTTTCAACAGTAGAGAACAGCAGTGGGAGAATTTACACCCTACATGCAGTATACAAATGAATATATATGAGAATAATATAACAAATGGTAGAATCAGGTGCAAAGCTCTCATGAAATAATAAAGGATTGGATATCTGCAACTGTTAAACTGCAAGTTGGTGATGAGATTGGGGAGAAATTTACTTGTACTCATTCCTGTATTCTACAGCAGGGTTGGGTTGGAGAGGAAATAGATAGTCATAGTATAGAGAGGCCCTTACACAGGGGTGGGCAATTATTTTGGCTGGAGGGCTTCTTAATGAGTTTTGGTATGCTGTCAAGGGCCTCAAGGGTAGCCCTGCCCCTTGACAGGTGCCCCGTTCCCTGGTCACTATCATGGGACCAGAAGTCCCACCTCCTAACCCATGACCTTCTCCACCAGAAGTCCCTTCCCTTGCCCCCAGAAATGTTCCTTTTGGGATGGGGGTTTGCTATCTTGGAACCAGAAGAAAAACCCAACATTATACAGGTTTCCTTTGCTTTATGCAGGTTCGACTTCACCCTTATGCAATGACCCTTTTTATACCAAAAATTCATTATATACAAGGTAAATTCACTCTTATGTGATCGGTGTGGTAGAAGCCTGCAGTCAGCTGCTTTGTGTGGTGCATTGTGGGAGTGACACACCAGAATGTAGTCGGCTGTGTAGATCTGTGCTTCTCGCTTGTCTGTGACATGTTTCTGTAGTTGCCACCCGCACTATGATAGCGCCCTGTGCTTATGTATACTGTCTGCTGTTGGCGAGTACCAGAATGGTCTTGTAAAAGTGGTGTAGAAATGGGTCTGGGGGTCAGTACAGTTGAGGTCTTGGAACGTATCCCTATTTGTTACATTGTAAAGTAAGTTCCCTGTATGTGAATTCAAGTTGCGCTCTGTCTTCCAGGAACGCATGTACAGCATAATGCAAGGGAAACCTGTATACTAAAAATCAAACATCCCCAAGAACATATTTTAATTTTATTTTTAAAATTATTTTTGTCCTGATCTGTGCACGTTTTGCACTGTGCATATAGAGGTGATTGCATAATAGCTCAAAATGAAGTCTTACTTTTGTATATTGGGGGGTATGGGTGGGGATATGTGTGGGTGGGCGGATGGGTATGGGGTTTGTGAGGAGCTGTCCACTGCCCCACTGGGCAGCCCAGAGGCAGCAATGATGGCAGCAGAGACCCAGGGCAGCCCAGCACAGGCTGCAGCAGGAAGAGCCTGGCAGTGGTGAGGGAGAGGGGCCACTTTTCTCCTGCGCTGAGCAACAGCTTCTGTCCCATGCTGCTGCTGCTGCTGTTGCTGAGCCTGGGCAGGCAGGTCCAGCTTGGGTGCAGGGCAGGGCTACGTATGCAGTTCCCTGCCAGTACCGCAGGGCTGGGGCCAGCGGCAGCAGGGCTGCCGCCTGGGCTGCCTAGGAAGGCAGTCAAACCATGGAGCTGTTCTGCTGCATGCCCAGGGGGCGGCAGGACACACCACCACCAGACAGTGCCTGAGGCACCTGCCGTGGGCTAAACAAAGCCTTTCCATGGGCCGGATCTGGCCTGCAGGCCCACCCCTGCCCTTGGGATCTCTATTCTTCCTGACCCAACCTTTAGGGCTGGACTGTGTGTTGCACATCTTCCCATTCCAGGCATGTGTTTTGGTCCACTCTTTGCAAGTAGATCCTCTGGCCCAAGCACATCTAAATGGCCTTATTGATATTCCCAAATAGATTAGCTGGGAGACCTTGCAGGCTGTATGTGAAGGTCTTGACCCTCTAATAGCCATTCAGCTCACATTCCTTGTATAGCACCGTCACAAGGCTGAAATGGGCTTGGAGGCCTTTGTTCTTTCCTTGAGCATATGCATGAGTTGTTTTCTGAATCAAGAAAGCAGAGAGACCTTCCAGTGACTGCTCTGTATTGATTCCTCTCATATTTTTGCAAGGTCCTTTGTTTAAGTGTTGTTAGAAGAGAAAGTACATTGGCCACATCCAGACTTCCTCATGGTGCTCACCAGGAAAAGAGAGACTACATCCATCTGCAAAGCAGTACCAACAGACTTTTAAATTTTACTTTTGAAAAACTAAAGACAAATTGCTCGGCTGCTGGAGAGAATTAACTCAATCATAGAGCAAATTGATATGATTGTTAGAGAATGAGGTCGGTTATTATATGGAGTAAGTAAAGCCATCTGTACTGCTAACCGCACTCACACAGGTGCTGAGTAGACATACAGAACTTCACTTCAGCCAGAGTGTAAATCACTCGGCCATTGTAGAGCAACAGTTGTGCTGATGGGAGTTTCCTGTGGCCTTGCTATTTGTGTGTAGGGCCACTAGATTCATCTATGTTTACAAGGCACTCTTTTTGTTGGAACTTTATTTGCTGAATGAGGCACAGAAGTCAAAAGGGGAACAAAGGACTCATGAGACCAGTACTACATGCATCTCTCCTGTGTTGTCCTGGCCCAAATTTTGATGTTGTAAAGTGGAATGGTGGCTTGCTGCAGGAGACAGAAGCACCAAAATTTCTCAGGGAAAGTACTTGTACGCTGTCTGGATTTTGAGCAAAGCCCTTCAGTCTCAGCTGTGGCCTACGGATATGAATTTAACAGATTGCTTGACTGCAGCTGGTCTCAAGCTAGCTGTATAACTGATTAAAGCAAGGAGAATGGTTGGAAAATTCCAGGCAGACAACACCGGTGGGAGCATGTGGAATTAAAATGGCTACTGCTGCATGCGCTAATGTTAACCAACTGGAGCAAATGAAACCTTAAAACTAAAGTAGCGATATTTTGTGTTTGGAGAAGTTCTGGAGCAGGACGGGGAGTAAAGGAAGACTTCACTCTTATTTACCACAGGCATGTATGTAGGTGCAAAATTAATGTTTTAGTTTGCCTTCTCCAAGAGGATGGAGTTTATTTAGACTGCCTGTAATCCAGCTTCTTATTACCCTTTTAACTCTTATTGTGAGCAGAGAAGCCAGAAACCAAAGCTGCTGTGTGCGAGTGTGGTGCTTACCTGAAATTAAAATGTGCAAAGGACTGCTGGAAAATAAAGATTTTTAAGAAATTCATAGTGTTACTTGGAAAATGTCCACTGTAATGCATTTTTGTAATACTTCTGAATCTTTTGGGAATATGCATAAATGATGCACTGAAAACAACTGTTTGTTTTTTTTCTTTCCTTCTACTTGAACATAGGCTGGGTATGTCAAAGCTGAAAATAGTTACTCAAATCCTGCCGGTTTCCAGTTAGGAGGAGTGGAGAAGGGACCTTTTTAAGCCCTTTTCAGTTGCTTCGCAGTTGAGAAGGGAGCTACAGATTTACTTACATTCACATATATGATATTTAAAAAAAAAATCCTCTTCAGAGCTCTCAGATTGCCAGTACTCAGTGTGCCAATAATTTATTTGCTTCCTCCAGCAAAGACTGAGACTGGAGGACTTTTATTTCTATTGTATTTTGTTTTCAATAACCTTTTAAAGACTTGGTTATTTTGCAGAAATCACAAAACAGCAGTAACTGGCATAGACTTTGAGTTTGTATGTCACCTCTTAAAAGCAAATGATCGTTGTTCATTGTCTCTTTGACTTCCAAGTAATTGCTTGTAAGCCACCTGTTTTATTTCCTCTTTGTTTGTAATACATATGTTCTTTGGCTGGTGGACTGGAGGTGTCAAATCACGCAGTTTACGAGTCTTATAAATCTAACACAGTGAATAAACAACTTTTGACGCAATTCCTTCCAGGGAAGAGTGTGACTGGTTGCTGCTTGCTCATACTGATGGCAGAAGTAATGCTGATCACTTTGGTAGTTCCACAGTACTTTATCATAGCTTAAACTCAAACGATTGTTCACCAGAGCGCCCCAAGGGATGACAAGGTTGAACAGTTATAAACTCCTGCAAGACCATTTCAGACTGGACATAAGGAAGAATTTCTTTACTGTCTGAGCCTCCAAGGTCTGGAACAGCCTGCCATTGGAGGTGGTTCAAGCACCTACATTGAACACCTTGAAGAGAAATTTGGATGCCTATCTTGCTGGGATCCTATGACCCCAGCTGATTTCCTGCCCTTCAGGCAGGGGGCTGGACTCTGACCTTCCGAGGTCCCTTCCAGCCCTAATGGCTATGAAATCTATGAATCCTGGCAACATGCAGGGCACAGCAATTTCTTTGCCTAAGATCACAAGGTCAGTAACAGAGTCAGAATTAGAACATGGAGGTTACCGATTTTCCCCTTGCACTTACTCCATCGAGGCATATACTTCTTTCAAGGGCAGAAGCTGGCTGCTCCACAAGGTGTTGTGGTGTGGGAATTTTGGTGCACATAACTCCTTGCAACTGCAGAGGGGTCCCAAATTAAAAAAAAAAAAAAAAAAAAAGCATTAAA